ATTTAAGAAGTTCAATGAAGCTGCAAAGAGTTGGGGATTTACTAACAGAGCTGAAGTGAAAAGGTTCTTTGACAAAAATGTTGTACATCAAACAAAAATAAACCCTTACGACTACTTTTTACCAATTTACTCCAACGCTCCTGACGCATACCAATTTGACACTCTCATTCAAAGCAGAAAAGGAGGACATAAACCATTCCTCATCTTCATTAATGTTAACACTCGCAAAGCATATGCATATCCAATGAAAAATAAAGGAACTCATGAAGTTTTAAGAGTTTTACAAAAGTTCGTGGCAGAACATCATCCCACTTCATTAACATCAGACCAAGACGGTGCATACATCAGTAATGAAATCACAGAATTTCTCATTAAGCATAACATAACTCACTACACTACTGAAGACCATAACCAAAACATACTCGGCATCATAAACCGCTTCATAAGAACGCTCAGAGATTTAAACCAAGAGCGAGACTTTACCGAAGAAACAATGAAACACTTTCTCGAAGTATATAATTCCTCAACACATTCTACAACAGGACATACACCAAATTCAATGACACAACAACAAGAAGAAAAGTATATACAAAAGAAACGAAGTCAAACACAAAATATCAGAAATTCAACACAATTTACCCTCATTCCTGGTACAAAAGTTCGTGTAGTTCTTGACGACAAACCGTTGACAAAGAAATGTTTAAGGTTAAGTCGAAATTATTATATCGTAGACTCTACACAAGGTAATGGATATCTTATAAAAGCTGCTGACGACTCCATTGCATTTTACCCTCGACATAAATTAGTCGAAAGTAGTAATGGCAAACTTGCTGAAACCATTGACGAAGCAAAGCGAGGAGTGGTTATTGAAATACTTGGCTACAACATAAACGATGACACTTATAAAGTAAGATATGAAGGAGGCGTTGAAGATGTTATACCATCTAAGAACTTGAGAGAGTCGAAGCCAACTCATCTGGGTCCATTAGAGCGGGAGTACTGGAAAGACAAAAATAAGCCAGAAAGAATAAGAAAATTCTTCTAAACTTTTTCGTTGGATGTAAATCAGACATGAATGAGAACAGTCATGATATCATTAATGGTACCATTTATTTTAACATAAATGTTTTCAGTGTCACCACGTCACTATGTCACCAGGTTAATTAACTTCTCTTAAAATTACTAACAACATGACATTTTGACAACAGTCCAGGAAATAAATTTTATCGTAAATGTTTACGTTAATGTTTTCGTTTATGTTTTCATAAATGTTTTCAGTGTCACCACGACACCGTGTGTCACCAGGTTAATTAACTTCTCTTAAAATTACTGACAACATGACATTTTGACAACAGTCCAGGAAATAAATTTTATCGTAAATGTTTACGTTAATGTTTTCGTTTATGTTTTCATAAATGTTTTCAGTGTCACCACGACACCGTGTGTCACCAGGTTAATTAACTTCTCTTCAAATTACTGACAACATGACATTTAGACAACAAGCCCGGAAATATATTTTATCATTAATGTTTACGTTAATATTTCGTAAATGTTTTCATAAATGTTTTCAGTGTCACCACGACACCGTGTGTCACCAGGTTAATTAACTTCTCTTAAAAATGATGACACCATGACATTTAGACAACAGTCCAGGAAATTTGATGCAGTCCAAAAATAAAGTTAGTTTTAAAATTATTTTTATTTTTTTATTCCTATATAAATGACGGCAACAAACAACAACAGCAACTTTATCATTTCTGATGAAAAAGTTATTGATTCATTAGCTAAGGAATTAGTTGTGGCAGAAACTAAAATCCTCAACGAAAGAATTGGTGAAAACAAGATTGATTTACATAACTACCTCAAACACGATGGAGGAAGAGGAAGGAAAACTGGTATGGCTTTATTAGTAAATAAAATTTCAAATTTAACGATTATAGATGTCGATATCAATAAATCGTACAATGATGAACTTAAAGAAACAGTTAGAAAAGATATTTTATCAAAACTTTCGGATAAAGATGTTATCGTTAAAACTGCTTCAGGAGGTCTTCACATTTATTGTAACACTAATTTCTTCTATTCAGTTTCGAACAGAATGATTAAATGCTATTCCTGCAATGATTATGATATTGACATAATGACTTCAATGGATGAATCAAAGCGTTCTTTAGTAGTTATGGCTGATTCAAGAGTTCGCAAGAATGCAACAGAACCAATCAAAACATACTCATTCATTCGTGGAAGTTATGATTCAACATTAACTAGAACAGCGAATGATATATTAAATGATTTGAATATTAATGTAAGAGTTGAACAAAAGAATGAAGAAATAAAGACTATCATGAATGAAAACAAAGATGTAAACATTGACGATAAACTAGCTCAAAGCATAGTCGATGGTATTAGTGATTTTGAAGTACATAATGACGGTGGAAACATGAATTTAGAAAAAGAAGTTACATTATTCACACTGTTTCAAGCTATTAATTCGTTACCTAATCATTTAATTAATGAAGCCTACGATAACGTTTATAACTTCTGCAATTTAACTGAAAATGCAAAAAGTAATTTTGAAAAAGCACGTAGTAGATATGCTCATTTAATGACTTCTCCATTTGTTTTAGTGAAGATTCTAAAACTATATCAAAAGGAATATTATGATGAATACGTTTTACCTTTATTACGTAAGCCAAAAATAACATTTGATATAAAACTTGATGACTCGTTTTTGATAACAGATATTAGACGCAAGGCTGAAAATCATCAGTATAAAAACAGTTCTGAAGTAATTGAGGATTTATCACATGTAATCCGTTTTGTAGATTGTGGAAACAAATATTTCATTCAAAAGGACTATAATATCCACGACAAAATGAATCAAATATCATTCGTTCTTCAATCAAACATGAAAGAGTCACTCAAAATGATTAAATTATTTAAAGAAGAAGGTAAAACCATAACAGCATGGGACGTACTACTAAATCAATTATCCTCATTAACCGTTAAGGGTGTTTGCTTTAAATCTGATTCTCCAGATGTTTTCTCAACGTTTCAGGGTTATAAATACAACGTTCTCGAAAAACCAGATTACTCAAAAATTGAGATGTTTATGAATTTCATTAAAGAAGCCATTTGTGATAATAACGATGAAGTGTATAAATACCTTCTCGGCTGGATTGCATCAATGATTCAACATCCTGGAATCAAGAATGAAACAGCAATTATTTTGAAAGGACTTCAGGGAACAGGTAAAAACAGATTTACAGACATTATTTCTGAACTTCTCGCTGGTTATTCATGTAAAAATTACCGAAATAAGTGAGCTAACGGGTAATTTCAATTCAGTAGTTGAGAATAAAAATGTTTCTTGTACTTAATGAACTCAAGAATGTAGGTGAAGACAGACTTGCAAACTTCAACGCTTTGAAATCAATTATAACGGATAATGAGATTAGAATTAATGAAAAGAATCAACCCAGAAGAACAGCTCAGAACGTTGCAAACTTCATTTTCGTAACTAACAACGTCTACCCTGTCAAAATTGAAGTTGGAGACAGAAGATACGTAGTTTTAAGAGTTAATGGTAAATTCAAGGGTCAATTTGATTACTTCAAGAATTTAATGGATTCATGCACAAAGGAATTTTATGATAATTTACTAACATATTTTATGCAATATGACCTTTCATCATTTAATGTACGAATCATACCGATGACTGAAGCCAAACAAGATTTAATTGAATTATCAACAAATCCTTTAGATGTATGGATAAATACACATTATGATGAATTGTGTGCAGGTATGACGTGTAAAAATGCTCTATTCTGCAAACCATCAGACATGAAAGACAAAAACTTTCAAATGAGCATTAAAGATAAATGTGAAAGGAAACAGAGAAGAATAGATGGTAAACAAACATGGTGTTATGTTTTGAAAGAAGAAATGAAAGGATTATATAAACAGGTTGAACCAAACAATAATGAGGATTCATTTACTGACGATGAAATACCTGTAAATGAAGCTTTATAAAGTATGATTTGAATTTATTTTTGCATTAATCCTGCTGTGTTGTCTAAATGTCATGTTGTCACACTTTTTAAAAGAAGTTAATTAACCTGGTGACATGGTGACGTGGTGACACTGAAAACATTAACGAAATCATTAATGAAAACATTTACGAAATCATTAATGATAAAATATATTTCCGGGCTTGTTGTCAAAATGTCATGTTGTCATCATTTTTAAGAGAAGTTAATTAACCTGGTGACACATGGTGACGTGGTGACACCATCAGTTATTCAAAAATAATTCATAAATGCCTTCCTCCTTTCGTACCTGTTGTCAAAATGTCATGTTGTCATCATTTTTAAGAGAAGTTAATTAACCTGGTGACACATGGTGACGTGGTGACACCATCAGTTATTCAAAAATATATTTTTCTTATAAAGCTTCAGGGTCTATTTCTTCAACCATTTCACTTCCTTCGTCAATGTCAATAGAAGCTTCTTCAACCTTTGGTAAGAATTTCTGTATAACATCTTTGTTCGTTATTGTCTTCAGAGATGAAGGATAATATTTCACATTTGTTTCACCTTTCTTATATTCTTTCTGTTCGGAAAGATTTAAAGCAATACTGAAGAAGTCAACGTTAGAGTTCTTTATGACAGTATAATGAGTATCTTTGACATTCACGAAGAAACTCTTTTGTTTCAAAACTACTGCTAACTCTTGTGAAGTATAACGTTTGCGGTCAATGACAATAGCTAATGGTCTGACATACTGACCAAACTTAGATTCTTTCACAAACTTCTTGTTAAAGATAACATTAACATTTGAAGCATTATTGAACTCATTCTTGATGGCAGTAGCGAGAGCATTGTATGAAAAGAACTTGCAATCTTGCATGTGTTTCATTAAAATAAAAATATTAAATTATTTGAAAAATAACTTAAAAATCTAATAATTTTTCAAAAAATATTTTTTTTTTCCTACTAAAGATGTATCGGAAGTTGTCTAAGTTAGAACACTCGGAAATAAAACAACTTCTTACAGAAGCTAATATAGATGTTGCAAAGCATTACGCAACAAACAAAAAAGCACTCGCTGACATCCTCAATGACTATAATGGTGCAATAAGTTATGATAGAATTCATGAGTTCATAAAGCCGCAACGCGGCGAGGACGAAGTCCATGCAAGAGCATTTCCTTTAAATGACGTTGCTATTGACTTATATCATAGACGTTCAGTACCTCATGAAGTAAGAAGAGAAATGTTTGACCTAACAAATGCAAACGTTGGTGAAACAAGAAGAAGAGACGACACACTGAAACAACAGAGAAGAGAGATGTTTAAGAGCGCTATAGAACAAGTTCGCAAAGCTAACGATGTCCTTCGTTCCATTGACGACAAACCAAAAGAAGGTGAGAGATGGTTAAAGAAAGATGAAGAGAATAGGAAGAGAAATGTGAAGTCAGGCAATAGACTCATTGACTTTAACATCGAAGCTTTAGATGAACCAAACAGAGACTACTTACACAAACATTTCGGTAAGGTTTTCATGAGACTCTTAGAGAAGATTAAAATAAAACTCACAACAGAGATGGATGGTATGTTATAAACTTGGTGGAAAGTATGAATGTTCTACGTTAAACCTCAATAATATTGGAACATTACTACATCAGCTCTTGAAGGAGAACTTTATATCAGAGAGAGAAGCAAATGCTGCAGGTATTGTTGAAATGCACTATGACTTCTTCTTGACAAACATAAAGAATCTTACTGAAATAAAGATGTATGATTTAACAGAATATGAAGGCTTAACGATGTCAGATGTAAAGAAAAGCAAACCAAAAAAGAGACCATATAGAGATGAAAGCACACTGACAAATGACCAGAAAGCCATTTTGGAAGCTCTTAAGCAAACAGGAAACCCAGCACTTATAGAAAGCTTTTGGAAAGATAATGGTGAAAAGAAGTTTTATAAGAAGAGAAGCGGTCAGTTCTGGAAGTATCTTTGCACATTACCTATAAATCTTGAACGCTACCAAATCTTCAATGAACTGAACAAAAGAACTGCAACACTTATGACAGAAGATAACTGCTTCGTTTATGCTTGCATTCAGGCTGGAGTAAATGAAGAAACTATTGACCCCATGAGAGAAGTCATTCGTGTTAGAGACTTTCCTCAAAGTAAAGTACAAGAAATTTCTGACGCAACTGGTATAGCATTTAATGTTACCATTGGTTACTTCAATGACTCAAGACATAATGAAATAAAGAGATACATACCAAAAGAATGTAAAACTGTTCGAACTATTGACTTACTTCTTGTTGAAGACCATTACATGCTAAATGAAAGATTACCAATGACAACATATTTTATCATAAATTATAAAGAAATTCTCAAAGCTTGTGGTGGAATGAACATTGAGAAACAGATGAAGATTTATACAAAGAGAGAGAACAAATATGTAGTTCGTTATGATAGAACAACACCGTTATGGGATGTTATGAAAACATTGTGGGAGTGCAAATATTTCGAACCTATTTCTTATGGAGAACTTTTCACATATACGACTGACTTATATAAACAGAACCTTGCACCATTTAAAGATTTGACATATGCTCCAAAGTATTGTGTACAACTGAAGAAGAAAGCCGAGTCAAAAGAAGTAAATAAAAATAAGTGCAAGTTCATTCCTGAGCACATTTTCTTTGCTGACTTTGAGTGTAGCACAGACGGCTTTCATAAAGCCTTTAACATTTGTTATGACAGTGAAGATGGTTCAGTGAGTGAAAGCATTTGGGGTCAGAACTGTGCAACAGAATTTTGGAACGACTTCCTGACAAGAGTTTAATATATTTCCATAACCTCAGTTATGATATAAACTTCATCTTAAGACACATGACAGAAGTGAAAGGAACTCCCATCATTAAAGGTTCACGAACAATGCAAATAACTGGCTTATATAAAGGACGGGCAATTATTATAAAAGACTCTTACAGTGTTATAAATAAGAAGCTTAAACTATTTCCTGCTATGTTTAACTTACAAACAGGACCGAAAGAAGTATTTCCATACAACTACTACAGCAATGTTTTATTAGCAAATGACAACAGAACTGGTGTCATTTCTGAAGCGTGTAAGTTTGTAAAAGATATTGATACGTTCATGAAAAACATAGATTCCATCAAAGGTTGCAGAATAGATGAAAACCACTTCGACTTAGAAAAGTATAGCACATTTTATTGCAAACAAGATGTAAGAATTTTAAGAGAAGGTTTTGTTAAGTTCCGCAATGACATATTGAAAGAATTTGATTTAAACGTTTATGACTACGTTAGTATTTGTTCAATTGCTAACAAATTATTTGAGAACAGAGTGTACTTCCCGAATGGAAATTTATATGACCTCTCAAATAAACCAAGAGAATTTATTTCACGCTGTATTCAAGGTGGAAGATGTATGCTGTCAGATAACATGAAACAAAAGAGCGAAAAGAAACTCATTGCTGATTTCGACGCTGTTTCATTATATCCATCAGCTATAGCAAGACTTTATACTTTAGAAGGAATTCCAAAGGTTATGAAGGATGAGATGCTAAGCACAGAGTATCTCATGAGACATTTATTCGATGACGACCAAAAGGAACCCATTGGTGAAAAGTTTATGTCTGGCTTCTTTGTTCTCATTAAGATAACAGAGATTGGAATACATAGACACTTTCCTTTAATAGTTTGTGACCCTGAACTAAATCCAGAACTTAACGTTCCCAGAAGTTCAAACACTTGCTGTTTAATGTATGTTGACCATATAACATTACAAGACCTCATAAAATATCAAGGTGTCAAATGTGAAGTGTTGCAAGGATACTATTACGATGGAAACAGAGATATTAGAATAAGAGATGAAGTAAAGAAGTTGTTTGAGTTAAGGTTAAAGTATAAGAAAGAAGGAAATCCTTTGCAAGAAAATATAAAGCTCATTCTGAACAGTATTTATGGCAAAACTATTCTATCTCCTATTGAGTCAAAAATAACCATAGTAAATGACAAAGATGCTATAAGATATGCCATCAGAAACTACAACCATATAGTGAAGTTCGAAGGTTTGGATGGTTCAGATAAAACTATTTTCAAGCTAACGAAAAGCATTTGCAGACACTTTAACTTCTGTCCACTTGGTGTTAACATTCTGTCTATGTCGAAGAGAATAATGTGTGAAGTATTCTGTACTGCTGAGGACTTAGGAATGGACATCTTTTATAGCGATACGGACAGTATGCATCTCTACAATGAAGATATCCCTCGTTTAGCTGAAGAGTTTGAGAAACGTTATGGAAGAGTTCTCATTGGTAAAAACCTTGGTCAATTTCATAGCGACTTTGCAGAAATCACAAAAGATAAACAAAGTTTAGCATACAAGTCAATATTTTGTGGAAAGAAGACTTACATAGACTTACTCACGAATGATTTAAATGAAGTTGCATTTCACTGCAGAATGAAAGGCGTGAAGCAAGATGTTATTGCTTTAACCGCTAATGAAATGTTTCCTGACTCTGTTCAGTGTTTCTATGATGAAGATAAAGGTTTAATGGTTCCGCAAGGAAAATTTGACAAAGACTCTGAGTTCAGTGTTATGAAGTTATATAAAGCACTTTATGACGGTCAAGAGATTGGATTTGACTTATGTAAGTCTTCTAGTCCTTGCTTTGCTGAAAAGTTTAACTTCTCAATAACGACTAAAACAAGCTTTATTCGTAAGTTGAAGTTCTGAGGTCATTTATTTTTGTCAGCAATGAGGTCATGAATGAGGTCATTTATTTTTGTCAGCAATGAGGTCATGAATGAGGTCATGAATGAGGTCATGAATGAGGTCATTTATTTTTGTCAGCAATGAGGTCATTCGTGATAAAAATAAAGCTAGCGTAGATTTTACAATACTGCGATGGTAGAGTTTAAGAGTTGTGCTTCAATGTAGAGACAGTCCTTCCCATCTGGAGGCAAGAACACTGGACATTTATGGTCGTGAGTTGAGTACATGTCTATCCAAAACTCACGATTGAAGCCAGTTAATTTATAGTATTTAGGATTTGGTAATGGTGAATTTCTTGTATGACCAATGAACTCATTTTCAACTCCATTACTTAAGTTTGAATATAATATAGCTTGCTTTCTATCCCAAATGCCTGGAAATCTAATCTTTGAAAATTCATTTTTCCTCGGAAGCATTGCATCATAATTGAAAACATTTTTGAAGTCTTCACTTGGTTCAGAGATTTGAAATCTTATACGTAATGGATTTTTTTTCTTTTTAGCGACTTCATTGAATGGTGAGAATACAATGAATTGACAGTCATGAGTTCCATCTTCATTTGGTACAAATTCATAACGAAAAGCTATAAGTTGTGGCTGACTACCTTCTTCTTTCAGTTGTGCAAGAAAATCACGTAAAGGCTGTAAAGTTTGTACTTCAATGTCGAGCCTATTTTGAACACTTTCGTAAAATGTAAGTAGACAGTCTTCTAACATCGTATCGTCTTTAAAGTATCTATGTATGTGAATGTTTTGGGCGCTTAAAGACTGTTCGTCATTTTCTATCTCGACTTGAAGTACAAACTCAACCTTTCTGTAAGCACGTGTTATATACATATTTGTTAAGCCAATGTACTTCTCTTCATTTATGTTCACAATCCAGTCTGTTGGAAACTTAAACGTTACTCTGTTCCCTTTATTTTTACGTCAGGGTTTTCACTACTGAACGCAACAGATAAAGGTATTTGTCTATACATTTAATTCGGATAAAAATAAACCATTTATTCTTTCTTTGCTTCAGCTTCTTTAGCTTTTGCTTCAGCTTCTTCTCTAGCTTTCTTCGCCAGCAAACGTGGGTTCTTATGTCTTCCAGCAGCTAATGCAGCAAGTTGTTTTTCACTAAGTTTTCTCTTTGGTCTCTCTGGCTTTTGTTCTTGTTTTTGTTCCTTCAGTTCGGATAAAATTTGCTCACGAATTTCTTTCTTCAATGCTTCAACATCTATGACCCCTTGGGTCTTGTCTGTAGGGCTTGTCTGAGTCATTTGACTGTAGATAAAAAACAAAATTAAAACTTTAACCGATGTAAAATGAGCTTGTCAAAATCAGAGCGAGAGTCTATTATATTAAATGACGCAAGAGGAATACAACATCCTTTCTATTACGTAAGTCAGAGTAAAGATGGTAAAATATATGTAAGAAAAAGAAAGGTTCCATTAGCGAATGCAGAAAGCGACAGTATTAATGTGCATGACGGGGGTGAAGAAAAGAAGCCAGATGTACTTTCAATAACGAATCAAGAGCTTATTGCAAAGTTCGTGAATTTCATTGA